CAGATGAGCCTTTCCACCACAGCACTAGTATGCATGATCCTTCTGGACTCCTTGGCAGATGGCTCTGGTTGCAGGCTCAAGGCCAAACAAGGCTGTAACCAAGATCCTTAGGGGACTGGTTCATTTCAGGGCTTGAAACTGGAAGTAAGCTCAGTGGATCAGCCACCTGGGTGTCGGTCTGCACTCTCAAAATGACCCTCCTGAGTCTTGGGCTCCAACTAGGTTTCCCAGACTTCTACCTGAATCTTAGGGCTCCTGCAGAAAGACTTCTGACTACAGATAAATGCAGAATTCTTGTTGTGGGGGGTGGAGGAGTATTGAGCAGGTTACCTTCTTTTCCGCCATCCTGATGATGTCACTCTTCCCTTTCCATTCATTAGTGTCTTGTTTTACGCTATTCAATCGGATTTTATAATTTTCTTAAACTTAAGAAATGTATTTCTATGCATTTTATAGACTTTGCTCAAATATGAATGGAACATTTTCCTATTTTTCTAAGTTATTGGTAGTATTGAGAAAAGCCATTGGTTTTCATATATTCGTCTTGCTGTTAATGTTAACCTTTCAAACATAGCATCTTATTGATTTTGGTAGTGTTTTGTCAAATGTTTGGGTTTTCCAATTTTCCTGAGTTAATTTTGGTAATTTATATTTTTCAGAATATTATTATTTTAGGGTCAGTTTTTACCACAGGGTTCATATATTTTATTTTGTTTTTCAATCACTTGTATATTTGTGGTTCTGTATCCTATACTTTCTCGTTTGTGACCTTGTATACTTTGTTTTCTCTTTTTCCCCCTTAATTAGGATCATAAGTGTATTAACTATTGGTAAGGGAAAAATAATTGGAGATGTACTATCTTTCACTATTTTTATATTTGCTTTTTCTTTTTCTTTTTTTTTTTGAGTTGAAGTCTTACTCTGTCGCCCAGGCTGTAGTGTTGTGGCACACTCATGACCACCCCAGTGTCTACCTGCTGGGCTCCGGCGATCCTTCCGCCTCAGCCTTCCAAGCAGCCGGAACTACAGGCACGCGCTAACATGCCCGGCTAATTTTTTGATTTATTGTAAAGATGAGGTCTTGCCAAGTTGCCCAGGCGAGTCTCGAATCTGCGGGCTGAGGCAATCCACTCACCTCAGCCTCCCAAAGCGCGGGATTACAGGCTGAGACACCCAGCCCGGCCTTAAACATATTTTTAAAAAACGGAATAGTGGACCAGGCTGGGTGGGGCAGCCTGTAATCCCAGCACTTTGAGAGGCCGAGGTGAGTGGTTTGCCTGAGCCCGTGGGTTCTAGACCCGCCTGGGCAACTTGACGAGACCTCATCTCTACAATAAATCAAAAATTAGCCAGGCGTGGTAGCGGGTGCCTGTAGTTCCAGCTACTTGGAAG